GGTTCCAAGTTCACCAATTAAACCAGCACGAACCACATTTCTGTATATCCATAAAGTGTAAAAATAAATAACTAAAAGAAAAAAAAAACTCTTAAACCAATGCCATCACCAATCTCCTGTACAGCTTCATTTTGTAATAGGAAGCCAAAGGCTGTATGCCTCTTCTTCCAATCACAACAAGAAAAGGTCAAATGACCCTCACCCAAATGGTTATTTCCTCTGCTAGTCGTGAATCTCATGCCCCTGCACCTGCATAGGAGGCCATTTAAGACTAAATCGCTCAACGGAAGACTACTCTCTTCTTTGATTTAATTCCCAACCTCTAGTTTAAGCAAGATTCGACACAGATAACTTTATATCATAAGTTACTCAACCAACTAAAATACTGACTCGCAACCCACCAATCCCAAAATGTGTAAGCCTCAATAAACTTATATTTTCTATTCATTGCGAGGTAGTTCTCTCTTTTCGCCAAACCCTAATTCTCTAGTTTGAGTGGGACACAAGCTTATTTCTATTTAAAGAAAAAGTCACTTTACCAACTAAAGTACTGAATCTTACATTTTTAGTTCTGCAAAAAATCCATCTATTATTGGCCAATTCTGACCTTGATTCCATATCAACTTCGTAATGAAAGCAATTAAATTTCCCTACTTCCGCTAGTTGTCTTTCAATTTCTTTCATGTCATATGGCAAATAATTGATAAGCGAGCAAACAAACTTAATCAGTATCCAAAAACAAATCAATTACATTTCCGAACAAAGCCAACTTTAACAAAAATTGTGCCAGATCTATTTATTTCAAAAAAAAATTTGTGCCAGATGTACTAGTTGAGAGCGTTTCTCACTCGATAACCGTACAGAAACTTAACAAATTCTGATAGAAGCTCCCTAAAAAATACAATAAAAATGAAGGGGGTATCTAACTATACGGCAGCAACTTAAATTGAGCAATAAATTATTGGAGCAAATTTTGCCAGATGTACCCATCAAGGGCAGTTCGCACTTGATGACGTATACGCATTTAATCAGATTCTCGGATGACTTTCTCCAATAACTACAAGAAGAAAGTAATGGAGGGATCTAATCATACCCCCAAGTTAACTATGTAATAAATGATTCCAACAAAGAATGCATGCAAACATATTCTTTCCTTATTTGTCACTCTTGATTGAAAAACAGTGGTTTACCTAAGTCTGAATCATCTTCAGACTAGCAAGTTAATATTTCAATGGTAACTCCAGTTACCCATGCAATACTCCAGTAGCCTCCAGAGTGTTAAAAGTTTTCTGTTGACCTAGAACAGTGTACACAAATAATAGCTTATTCAATTCCAAATATAAGTTTTCCACAAGATTCTCATTCATTGAAACCCATCTTTGACCTCACTAGTCCTCACCTTTCACGGACACAACGGGACACAATCATTTTGACAGAGTTGTGTTATCATTTCACAATCGGCCATCCCCTAAAGATACCTCTAGCTAAGAATTCCAATTGATCTTAATCATAGTACAGGTTACTTAAGTTAAATTGTCAAGAAAAAGAAAAAAGCCAAACAAACACCCTCTAAACTTACCCCTGAATACTAAAAGTTTCGTAAACCACAGTAGTCAATCAACATTAGCGTGCCTCAAACTGAGATGCAAGTCAACGTAGGTAAAACTATGAAGAACATGAGGTACAGCAGAAAAAAATTCAGAGAAAACGAGGATTACCGAAATGAGCACTCGTCCCACTAATGGAGGTATCAACTTTGGATCTCGAAGAAATGCAGCTGCCGATGAACCTTAGCTTGACCCAGCACCCAGTCTCCACAGCACAACCACCACTGTCGTCATCATTATCTTCTTCTTCAACTTTCTTCTTCTTCCTCCCCTTTGATTTGCACACCTCCCAAGATTTCACTTTACCATCTTCGCCATCCAAACCCATCCTCTCTCACAAACCCTAATTTTCCAAACGCCCTTATCATCCAAACCCCACCTAATCCCCACCACCACCACCGCACTTCACGCCTCGAGAAACCCGGAAAAATTTATCACCAAACAAAAAATTGCTACCTCTTTTAACCTCAACTCCTGCCCCCAGAAATCAACTAATAGATAGATTTAAAAAAAAGAAAATAGAAAAACAAACCCAGTTCAAACGAGAGTTAGATCAGATGAAATAAATTTAAAACAAAAAAAAAAAAGCCGCTGTAGGGTTGATCAAGTTTTGCTGAATCTAGAGGTACAAACCAGGTACCTAAAGCTTTTCTAAATTGTTTGTTCCTTCTTCCCCTACCTTTGTCAGGTAGATGAACAATCAGCAAAATCTCTCAGTTGAAGACAAAGAAATGTCCGTTCAAAAACCACACAAGAATAACATAAATCTCAAAAAGAAAAATCACAGAAGCAGTGAGCAGACGCCTAAACTGAAACTGGCCAGTTTAGAGAGAGAAAGACGAACAAAACTTTGGAACATATTCAGATACATTTACCCTCTCGCTATAATCTCTCTTTTCTTTGCCTTTTTTTTTTTTTTTTTTCTTTTAAAATTTTAAAATCCAATCTGAAATATGGGAAAAGAGCAACTCAGAACTGCCCGGAGAAAACCGGGTAACGAGAAGGTTTAAGCTGCCCGGGATGTCCACGAGGATACTGACCGAACAGGCTTCCTGATATTGTACACTGAGCAGGACGCGGACATGGGCGGAAAAGAGAACCCCGGGCAGTTCGGGCAGTCGCGGAAGTGGAAAACCTCGGGTAGTTCGGGCAAGTGGGTCCCACTTGATGGTGACGCGTCTGCTCGAGTGAGCGGATGCTAACGCGCGCGTCAGATTGAGCTCATCGCTGTTGTGCATGCATCCCCCTCTCTCCTCTTCTTTTTTTTTTTTTTTTTTTCTTTTTCTTTTCCTCTGAAAACTATAGCTTATTTTTTAACATAATTAAAAATATGTCACAAGATTATGATGCGTAGGATAAAATAAAAAATATATAATATAAAATAAAATTGAATTAAAATTAGTAAGTTTTGATTGACCAGTTATTTTTTCTTTAATTTATATTAAATTATTTTTGCTCATATTTAAGTGCAAGACCAACATACATTTTTTTTATTAAAATAAAATAAAATAAAGTTTTTTAAAAAAATGCAAGTCATTTTTAATACAACAAAGTAAAATAAAACAAATTTATTTTGTTTAATTTAATATCAATTTCATTATTACATGAATATATTGTAAAATGATATTAATTAAGTTATATTTTTAATTAAATAAAATGAATAATTTAATTTATTAATATATTAATAGAGATATAATAATTAAATTATTTTAAATCTACGTGAGCTTATGATATTTTTCGTGAAAGTAACATTCAGTTTTAATTAATTTTCTTAACTTGAATTAATCATAATAACTTAAACTTTTTACTCAGAAAAAAAAAAACTTAATTTATTTAAATTTTGATAATAAATAGTAAAAAAATAATATACTATTATTGAAAATTATTTGTATTATCCTGAATATATTAGTAAAACATTATATTTCATATAAATATAGATAAAACTTATTATTTTTTAATCAACTTGAATAAAAATATTAAATTATTTACACAAAATAATATCATATCAAATACAATAGAAGGATAAAAAAAGTAAAGAAATAAAAATGACCTTTTTAATACGGCAGACAAATAATAGTTTAAGAATTTAAAAAAAAAAAAAAAAGTATAAGGGTATTTTGGGAAAATATTATGAAATTTTGATCTACAAAATGTTGTTGGGAATTTGGCCAAATTATGGGGAGTGAGAAATACCTAGTTTTTTAACCAAATTTTTTAATAAATAATAAACAAATTTAAGTATACTAGATAAATAAATAAATAAATTTTATTATTTTTTTTTAAAAAATTGAATATAATTACTATTAGATATGGTTTAATGATTAAGATATTTTCTATTCAATTTTTATGCACCAAAAGTATAAGCATTGAACTTGACATAATAAGTGAATGTTCCCTTCCCAACAGACTGAATATTAGCATATATAGTAAATACACAGAGGATGGTGAATAGGTGATCCAGGGATAATATGTATAGTTCTAAGAATCATGAAAGTAGAAATTAATAACAAATTAAATAACACTGATTATTTATAGTAATCTGTTCTTAAATTATTTAAGTTTACTGTTTTAAACTAATATGGTAAAATATATACCTAATATTATTTAGATATTTTTTTATCCGTCATATAAAATTGATGAATAATTATATAAAATTTATATTAACGGTTATAGGTAGTAATTAATTTATTTATATAATTAGAATATTTCAAAAAATAAATTAATTAATTTTTAGGATAGTAATATCTAAAATTTATATAATTTTAAAACTTCTAATTTGTTGGGGGAAAAAAAGACTATCAAATGAGATGGAGATTGGAGACAAAAAAAAATTATTATTTACCCGAATTTAGAGTTACTACGTCTATTTTCATATAGTCTCATATGAGAGAAAATATGAGAAGTACATAGTACAATCGAACACAAAATATTGATAAATTATTTAATTAATTTTTAAAGTTTAATATTTTTTTTATAATTTAATATTTAATGTTTCTTTTTGTTATAATTTGTTCTTAAATATTTTTTGTTAGTTTCAAATGCTCTATTTTTTTTCTTTAATTTTATGTAAAAATAAAATAATTAGATCATATTTAAATATTTGTAAAAATAAATGCAATTAATAATAATAAAATTTATCTAATATTAATTTATTAATATATTATTCAAATTTATTAGTCACAATTATTTTTAGTTATTTTTAAAAATATTCATATACATCATAATTATTTTAAAATTTTCTATCAAAAAATGGAAAGAGAATTAAATATTTAAAATTAAATCGTAATAAAAAATATTAACTAAGGGAACAAGAAAAAAAAAAAGTTTAAAAAGAGTTTGCAAATATGTGAAAGGAATATCGCCCGACATGGCGGGCTTGAAGATTTTGTTGGGTGGTTCAAGAAACCAAGCTTGACTTTTTTGTATCACCATGCAGCATGCCCTTCCCTACCTAATCACATTCTCTTGTTATCAAAGCTAAATAACAATGTTTTTGGCAATTTACACTCAATAAAATCTTATCCAAGATGTTGTATTTACTTTTTTCATCGGGTAAATAATATTTTCACTACACAAACACACATATAGTAAGATTGGTTATTGCTTCAATCTTTTGCTATGATACCAAACACATGGGTTATTTTTTCGGATGGAATGAAAAATAAAGTTCAAACTCGAATTGTTCGAATAGTCAACTCTGCAACTATGTTATCTAGAGTTACATTACTTTTTGACAAACCCCTCTTACTTTGTTGTATCAATTAAATCCTTCATATTGGTATCCTTATGTAATCTCTCTGTAATAACTCTCAGCTTAATTAAACAATTCAAGTAATTTGTTTAACTACCTATTATACTAGTCAAACACATTATCGCAAAGACTTTTGAATTTGTCTAACTTACAAGCTTGATTTCATATGTCTTACTACTTAGGCAGACCACAAATTTCCCCGCACAAGTTATAAACGAAGGCCCATGACATCCCCCTACCCTGTCCGTAACTGTAGTTTGCTTTCTTTACAGGCCGATGCCTGAGGCTGTAAACCTATGTACCAAGAGAACTCAATCGGGGAACAGGCAGACAACAGGTTCGGTGATTCAGAAACAAAAAGAAAAAACCAAAAAAATCAGATGAATCATGGAAGGAACTGAGTTTCCCTATTAATTACAAGGGCTCTCCGGATTTCTCTGATGTTGCAGAGTGTGAAATACAATACACGTAAGTTGATGAGCAGCTTCATCTACGAAGAACGTATCCTTTCTCATCAAATGGTATAACAAATGGCGGAATCAAGGTGATGGTTTACAATAATGATATCTTCCACTTCAAAACAAAATCGATGATCCTCATTCCAATCAAGAGTCGAGAAGAGACTACCTTGGTGTAGCATACAGGCATAGAATGGCACAAGAAGCTAAATGATGGATACGGTATCATTCTCACGTTCTTGAAGTGTTGAAAGACTAAACAAAGTATGCTCTTCGCTTAAATAATCCCAGTGGAAATGCTCGATGTTGCATTTATCTTCAGTGAGTGCTCGGGAATATATGTGAGACCTGTTACACCAGATAGGATTCATTCATGAGACCTGTTATTCTCTTGCACTGACAATTGAGAATTACAACTAATGAATAGCGATGTAACTTTCAAGAAGAAAGTTAAGTCAAATTGCACTGAACCTGTACAAGTGTTTTCTATTATACCTTCCTTACCCAGACGAAATCAATTAGAGAAACACTAAGCTATAGGCAAACAACTGAACACCGTAAAATATAAACATAGTTGCTAAGGACTAACTACTGGACAGGACTGTGATAGACAAGGCATGTAACTTGCATAAAGGGAATGTAGAGGTTTCTTTCCAAAAGTTCACTCGCCAAAACATATGTGACAGAACATGCTCTTCATCATCAGCACATCATTAATTTCAAACCATAAGGAGCTTTACAACAAAACCCCTTATAAGTAAGATTATTTACTCCAACCAATTATTTTAGCAAGTAATAAGTACAGAAAATAATATGGTATTAGAGAAATGGGTACCTTTCTCTTTAACGTCAATCTGTAAAGTATCAAGAGTAATTATGCCATCAGTCAATGGAAGGAGCTCAAGCTTGATGGTTGCCGTGGATTGAGAAGGAACACATCTGATAAAATAATAGTGAACAATAACCATTTATATAATCAAAATTAAAGCAGCAGAGAGAACAATATATTACCCGAGTGGAACTCGACTCTGTAGCCAAAGATGGGTACAACCCAGACCACTAGTTGGAATTACATCAGATACAGAAGATGATTGCTCATTAAAAGAAATGGAACGAGCTCCACCATCACCTTTCTCTTTGTTCTTCTCTGATGCAACAGGAGCAGAACTCAACCTTTGAATTGCAGAACCACGTCTCTCACTACTCACTCTTTCTGTAAACTCAGAGAACCCAACAAATGGACTCATTGGTGATGAAGGTGACGAGTTCAAGGATACTACTGAAGGAGGTGACGTAAATGATGCTGGTGCAAGAACTGTCAATGTCAGATCCTCAGAGGTCAAATTTGAAGCCTGAAGAGTTAATACCTGAACATTTAACAAAGTTAGATGAGAATTAATCAAGAGAAAGAAAAATCAGAGAAAGACCCTGTTAGCATTCAACCTGAACCGGGAGTTGAGTGACTCTTCCATGAGGCCCAGAAGACTTTCCTGACATTTCAGATGCAACAGAGATCATAAGATCCCTTGAGATCCGAGGTCTCCAACTTGTCCGTTGCTTAAAAAATAATCTTGACTCTAGAATCAACATCAAACATTATATCAAAGGAATAAGTAACAAGAAACTAGAGCCTTAAAGTGCTTTAGATAATATTATAATCTAAGGGCAATATATATACCAGTATAGTTGCACCGGCATGATACCATAATTGCATACAGATCACCAGTTGAAGCAGTCTCCTTTCTGTCAACAGTCGTGGTGGAGGCAAGACGCAAACTGGATGATTGAGGAGTTTTTTCACTCAAAGCCTTAAAATTCTTCATAGAAGATGCAGGCTTTAGGATAAAAGAGTGCTCCTCACCTCTCCTGTGATTGGACCATTGGATCAATTAGAGCTAATAAATCCAAAAGCATAGAGACTTTTTCAATTTGCACTAAACTCCTCTATAGTGCTGTTGTAGATAATAGCATCTCTTTCAATAAATAAAGCCTACACTTGTGTTGATTTAATAATTGCCCTACTAACTTTTTCGTCCACAATACTAAAAAGCAAACATAAATAATTCACTTATAAAGGCTAATTGCATGCTCCTTTCATATTTCATTTCCAAGAAGCACTCTATACCCAATAAATTATATATTCCCGAAACACAGAGCAAGGTATGAAGTATGAGAACAATCTGTTGCCAATGCAAACATAAAAATGGATTGTTGAGACTATGTTTACCCAAGTCATAGATGGGCCTAACCAATTAGCTCTTCCTGCATAACTACATTTTCTCCCTGAAACAATCACAAAAAAGTTTGACATCTAACCCAAATGAATTCCAAGTCTAAAAACTGGGGAGAAATGAAACCTCAGTTTCCTCTCTTCTTAGACTTCATCATTCAAGAAATCTCAAAACTGACTCCATTCATTCCTCACTATCCTCGTATCTCATTGACACAAGAATGAAGTGATATAGTGAAGGTTTCTCAAGTACTATTGCCTTGTTCTCTGTCGAACTTATAAAAATTATAATCAGTAAGTAAAACAAAATAAATAGAAGTTTATAAACACAATATACACCCTTCAATAGCAGAGAGAAAAAGCTCCACCTGGTCTCTAGAGGTTGAAGTTGAAAAGCTATAAAACTGATGTCAGGTAGCATGTTCGATAATAATGTTACTTTAAACTATAATAGAAGTGACATTTGAGATTAGATCAACCTATACATGTGATAAGGATGTTACCCCAGAGTAAAAGCAGATCAAACGCAAACAATTCTTGACCCATTCCACCATTTAGGTATCAGGCACAACTAGGCTTATTTTGCACTCAAACAATGCATGTACAGGAAGCACGAAGAATGAATGCAGGAAAAACATGCTGAAAAATACGATAGCAACTAACTACTTCATGTCTATAACTAAATTAAGATGTCCAGACAGTGTGACAACCTCAGGGCTAGATTTGGCAAACTGTGATCATTTCCAGCTTCAACACAAGCAATTGGCAATGAAGAAGGTGGACCACCTTTTGCAGCCTCCTCGAAAACAAGCGTTATAGCATCTATGTAAATAACAATATCAGGTGTATGTGCCGGAGAAACATTCTGCAAAACAATTTGACTTAATAAAAACAGGAAAGAATTGAAGGCAGAAGAGAACATGTTGAACATAGTCATATAGAGTGATTAAATATTCAGTCCTGGGAAGAAAAGGTTGCATTTATCAAATATCCTGCAGAAGTTACAACACAAACCTTTATCTGAACACAAAGAAAATCAGCTGTATTACAGTCAGCAGCAAAAGAATGAATTTCAACAGGTTGAATTATTTCAATTTTCCTTCTCCATCTTCTTCCTGGAATATAGATGCCTTCCAATCCACAACGGACCGAAAATCTTTCTCGCTCCAGTGATACACTACGGAAAGATAAAAGCTCCTCATTGCCAGTTCTTTGGCCTTTCAAAAGCTTGTAAGATGAGTGATGATCCCACTCTTCAAGGTCAAATGATGGCTTAGAACTTTGGGCTTTGACAGGTCCAGAAGGCTGAGGAGTATTTGGGGGAAGTGATGACATGGAGTAACTTCTAAAATGGCCAAAAGAAAAGAGTTGAGAGCCAGAAGAGGCAGAGAACGCGGACCTCTGTGATGTGGTACCAATTCCTGAAGTAGAACTTACAGGAGGGGGAGATAAAGAACGAGTTGGAGGAGGAAGAGTGTTATCCAATGGAAGCAACCATTTTAACAGTTCTCCACAAGGATCCTGACTTGCATGCTTGAAGTTGTTCTGGTCCCCAGAAGACAGATTTCTGTCCCTATATTTCTCAAATTGAAGAATCTCGATAACAGGATCTTTCAGAGAATCAACACTAACATTTACTTGTATTAAGACCTGCATCCTTCCAAACAGAGAAATAGGATGAGAATCAGTATGTCTGAACTATAGGCTAAAGCGGCATGAGGTTCAGGTGCATCAACATGATTCAGTTTCCATGACCAGATTGCTCATTACAAAAATCAAAGCAGAAATATATTCCCTACACTAAAACAGAGTAAAGAGTTAGAAATATCATGGTCTCCAAGGCCACAATCCAGTTATGCACTCAAAAAGTCCAATAACGTCCAGGCTAGCAATTAAACATGCTAGCTTTCAAGTTCAACGATTCAAAGTTTATTGATTTATAACGAATCTTGAGAAGTTCCAAAGGAAGCATGCAGTGCATCATCCTAATCATTAATATCCTAAAATAAGGCTTAAATCAACAACAGCTCCAAGTATGCAGGTATCAAGAATCACCTTTGACAGCTAAATACAAGACATTTCATCTCTAATTGGCAGGTATGCTGGTAAGCTATTACAGAATAACCGATGAACAGGGTAACTATTATTTTGCTTCTTAACTGCCAGGGGGAACCAACTGAAGCATGGCATCTACATAATGTCATGTCTTGTGCCTGCTTCAGTTGCGGATCACTGAAGTAAAAATTCTTTAACCTAAATTAATAAATATACTACCAGAAGCAAGAGAGTCAAAAATGAAATGGATTACTAAGTATTACCAATCACATACATTTCCAACAGTCATATCAGAAGCTTCAAATTAACTAATAGATTTAAGATTTCGAATATCTCCCTCATTCCTTTATAATATTTTGTAGGTCACTTGGAAAGAAACGAATAGGAGGGTTTTGATGGGCTTTATTTGGCCTTTTGTAGATATGGATCATTGGCTCCAAAATTCTCTGTTTTTTTTGCTTAAAGATCATCCTCTCTCCCCTAAGTAGGATCGTGAAGAGCTTGATATTTTGACCAGCTTGCAACCTATGGTTTCGTATATGAATGCCACTTCCTTGCTGTCTTGTTAATATACTTAAAAAAATAATAATAAATTTTTAACCTGCCTTGAGCAGGCTTAAATTTAAGGATTATAACAGCAAGAACTTATTTATTATTTTTAAATATTGATATTAACAATGGTACCAATGGGGCACCACCCATATATAATATATTTACATGTCAATTAAAACTTCAATGACATTTCCAAAATTTTCCGGCCTATTAATGTCATGACCCAAAACCAAGAAACCAAAAATATGAATTCATCTATCTCTAATATTAACAAACTCCCTTTTTATTTCTTCAAATGCTCTAACATTCCTTTCTTTCCACACGACCCAAAAAATAGATAAAGGAATCAGAAGAAGATAAGTTTTCTTTGTACATAAGCCCGCCCAAGCCCACAACTCATCTCTCGCCAACCCTGCAATCACCCAATTGATCCCTAGGAGACCGTACACCATAGACCAAATACCATACACCATTGGGCACCATAGCAAAATATGGTTACATGATTCTGCATCCATCTTAAATAAAAGCAGTGATTAACTAGAATTTTGCCCCTCCACCTCAGCCTATCAATAGTTAGGATGCATTCTCTACTCATTTCACAAGCAACCAAAAAACAATTGTTGGTGGTGCCTTCGTCTTCCATATCTATTTAACTGGATAATGGACAGTTTCACTCCTTTTTCCCCTAGTCAAATGCTTGTAGAAGGTCTTTACAGAGTAATCTTCTTGTTTCCTCAATTTCCACATCAACTGGTCCCTTCGATCATCTAATTGAATTTGAGATAACAGGAGTAATAAGGCTTCATACTCTTCGATAATTATTGAGATTTCTTGTGACGTTCATATTCCACCCCCTACTCCCGCTCGCTGTCAAGTGAGCCTCCTCCGCCACCATGTTCTTTGATGACACAATGGCGAAGATCGCTGGAAACTGATCTTTCAGCCTATCCTCACCAACCCATTCATTCTTTCAAAAATGAATTCTATCGCCCTTATCCACCTTCCTCTTTGTGCATTCAAGAAATTTGTGTTTCTCCACACTAATTTTCTTCTATTCACATCCCTGACGTCCTCACCCACTTCCCTCACACCCCACAGAGCCTCCACAACAAGAACTTATTTATAAGTTGCGAGTGAAATATCAACACCACCTTCCATACACTAAATTATTATTATTGGACATTTGCACAAAGAAGTACTCAAATTAATTTACCATGAAAAGGAAATAATGCTCATACAGTATAATGGCCATTAATAAATGCTATTTTAGAACTCATAAAAGCCACTTAGTGTCTAAAAATTGAACAAATTCAGCTTTCAGATATAAAAGAATTAGATATCCCAGCAAAAAGAGAGAATTTCATGTCATATTATTGTTAGAAACTTGGGACTTCTTGCAAGCATTTTAGCAAATATGAAAAAAATCACAAAAGAACTTTGCCTACTACCATCCTCAGTCTCATCAAACTCCATCCTAATGCGATATACATGACTATGTTGCTTCGGTTTGACCTTGTGCAAAGCCCTAGGCTCTCTATGGTTTTTGCTAAAAAAATGTGACCTGTAATTCTGTGTACAATCATCAAACAATAACTGCACTAAATATCATGCAAATACAAAAAGTTGTTTCCTATCAAGTATTTCACAGTTTCTCTCTCAAAAAGTTTTCCATAGTTTTTTATCTCATGTCATATCTCATTTGTGTAGCATGCATACATACATAATAGTCATAACTGCATGTAAAGAATTGACATGCTAGATACATGACTGAAATAACTTACTGAGAAAGCCAACATGAGAGAAAAACTAAGATGAAGCAAAGCAAAATATCCAGTAAATTTTACTACATCCCATACCTTATACTGGTCATGCTATTAATATGTAGGCAAGTAAAACGACAAGACCTAAGCATGCTTCTTAAAACCAGCTGAGAAAAATTAGACAAAATCTAGCAGAAATTATAATAGATCTATCTCCAAATTGTAGTTTCCTGTTTATGGATGCGAATCAAGAAAAATAAATGCCCAAACTATCATAATGACAAGCAAATGCAAGAAAACAAGTTCACAATACAAAATACAGAAGTACAGATCTATGATATTTCTTTTAAAGATAGGGAGGAAGAAAATATCACAAACAATGTAGAAGGTACGTGACACATACCGCTATGTCTCCATTACAAAGAGCATAACACTTGACAGTATTTCTAGCCACTCCACCAGAAATATTGGCATCAAAATTTCCTCTATCAATAACTGCATTGAGACGTGATCTATCTTTTGAAGAGTTTTTACTTTCATTGCTTTTGGACTTTTGATCATCTAACTCGCCAGAATCTGGAGCTGTCTTAGAAGCACTTTTCTTTGACCAAAGCTGCTCATCAGACTCTGCAATCCGGACAAAGAAATGGGAGTTTTTAAACTTTTTGAGTAACCTTTCAGTCTGTCTTTTGTGATCTTCCATTCTAAGGAGTGATTCACTAGCTGTAACATCCTTTTGTGGATCAATCTTCTTTTTTGCCAAATTTTCGACACTCTTATCTATAACTTGATCATCAGGACTCACTTCCCCTTCTATGGACACCCTATCTGTTCCACCCTCCACGTTTCCATTTTCTTTCTCAGGGAAGTTTCTCATGCCATTTCTACTCATCACTGCCGCAACTTTGAACGGAGTGATAATTTCTGTTTCCCGCTTACATGCTGACAAGCATGCTAGAATATGAAGTTGTTCGCCTGAAATAAAAATGTTATTAACAAGATCGAGCCTTATATAGAATAACATCTCAAAGATGCCAAGACAATGAAGCAAGTGAAGATGGTTCACGGTAAGAAGTACCAGGAAATACAAAAGAGCGGTCCAGAGGTCGCAGTGAATTGATATCTTGTGCATCATTCCAGTTATCAGGGAGTTTTCCTGAGGAACAAAGAGTATTAGATTCCTACCAACTGAAAATCAACACAGCATTCTGGTGCAAAACTGGAATAGTGAAGAAGAACCATTTTCTTTAAAGTAACCATCCAGACCCTTGCATATAGTTTTCCATATAATAAAACTATTCAAAGAAAAAGTTAACTGTAATAGTGAGGGAGTACTATATGGAATTGTAATCCATCCTTCTTCTTCAGAGACATCTGAGTGGCTCTCCATCATTGACGTATCGCTCTTAGCACTTGGACCAGTGCCGCCATTCTCACCTGGAACTCCATCAGAATCATCTACTCTGGAATACTGCGGGAATGGGTCTTCAGCTATAAGGCCTTCCAAAGTAGCTGAAGGCTTTGTTACATATGGTATCTCTGCAGGAGTTTCAGGAACAGGAGTTGGTTCTACAACTATGTGTTGTGTAGGCCGCAGCAGAAAATTCATTTCACCAAGGCTTCGCCAAAACCAAAGACCCTGGTGAAGAATAGAATATTATATTTCTTTCTTTTGTCTTGTCTTTTTGAGAAATAAAGAATACAATATCATCTATTAAAATTTACAATGACAATGAAGGTAAGAAGAAGAAAAAAAAGTCAATGTGCATGCTGATCCTGAATGTCTTACAAATCATGTTCAAGTTACAAAGCTTTCCCAAGATCCCATGGATCCATATTTCCATCCCTTTTGTCTACCTCACACACTATATTTGAATAGCTCATTTCATCTATATTCTACTTTAGCAACTACAAGCTAATCTAGAAAAAAAAAGAAGTTGAGAGATTCTAGTTAATTTAGAAAAAAAACTAAAGTAGCTTAATGAGAAGAACCTATCTTTCCTATTGCTTCCCAGTGATCAAATGAGGACTGACGCTAGTTTTATTCTCAGTCTTCCTTGGATCCAAACAGGGCCTTAAGGATTAACCTAAATCCTTCCTCTCAGAGTTGCTTGAACTAAAAATAACTGTAAATTTAGCTTATATTAGAAAAAGTTCTCCATTCTTAAGACAAAGAAAGTCCCGCTAAAATATAAACTCTGCAATTCAAAGGGGTAAAACAGAGTACTAAAGGAAAAAAAACGACCACCGTTTAGTGTATCTCAAAGCATCAAATGCATATTCATAAGCACGCGAAAGAAAGAGAGAAGGAAAATGCTATAAACGGTACTATCAGATTCATTTAGGGTTTAAAACCGGTAAGAGAAGCGACTCTTAGTACGAGTTTGCTCATATATGGATCATGATTTGATTATGAAGCTCCTGATAGTAGCATTTACATGGTGATCGTCAAGGAAAGAAATTCGATTACCTAATCGGATACCAAACGGTGGAAGCTTTGAGCTGAGAAATAGGGGATCCAATTGGAAATTGCACAGAAGCAATTAGGTGCGCGGAGAAGCTACCGGGCACTCTCTCTCCGTCTCGATCTGCAAGCGAATGAAAGGAAAAGAGAACTGTTTCAATTTTTTCTCTTTGGTTTTTTTCTTTTTTTTTTTTTTTTTTTCAATTTTCAGTGCGGTAATTTTTTTATTTTTTTAAAAGGAGAAAATATCCGATTAAAACCATTTAAGGAAATCATGTTCCTATTTTGTTTTTAGCCTAAAACGACGCGTTTCATTCCCCTTGAACAAAAGGCCGGGCCAGCTTAAAACGGGCAGCCCATTTTGTTTTTAACCTAAAACGACGCGTTTCATTCCTCTTGAACAAAAGGCCGGGCCAGCTTAAACCGGGCAGCCTACTAAGGACTTCAGTTGTTTGGACCAATAAATTCTACTTTAACAACATAGAGAAATTGTTTAGAAAAATTTCATTGTCTGTAAAAAGCCTTTTTAACTTACTATAATTAAAGTAAGTATTATTTATGAATAAATTTCCATAATATATTTAATTTATTATCAGCATAATCTTTTTAACCCAATGTTTTTATTTAATTGGCTGAAGTCGTAGCCACGAACTACCACATTTCACTCAACAAAAATGAATCTATAGTTGCAAAAATTTTATAAAATTATATTTTATAATTAAAAAAAAAACATGTTGCAATATTGAAACTTATTACAAATTTATTTTGATAAAGAATTTTCTAATAAAAAATAAATCATTGTGAAAAAAAAAAACTCATAATAATAACAAACATATATTGGTACCATAAAACTCGTACTTTATGAGTATTGGCAAATCTTATATAAGTTTTTAATTGAAATAACTAGCCATTTTATGTTTTTAGTTATATCAAATTAATACAGCACGTAATTATTTTAATCAAATTTATTTATTTTGTTAGAATATAAATCCATCGCTAACATTATCTTTTTATCCTAATAGAACACACCTTGAGATTACAATATTTTCATTTAGCTTTATTCTCTTGTTTTTATAAAATAATTTTATAAAACATATATATAGTAACAATAAATATATTAATAGTAATAATAATAATAATAATTAAATTTGTAAATAATTTTGTCCATTTTTATTGGTTGCTCCAATTTTATGACACAAATATAACCAAAAAAAAAAGATAAATCTATCACAAAAAAAAATAAATAAGTTTTATCTTCCTGCTTTATCCAAATTCTATATAAGTTTTTCATAAACTTTCTTATCAAAATCTATCCCTATATGAATTTTTGTTTGTACAAAAGTAAAAATATTGTGTAAAATGTACACTAAATATAATTATAAAACTATCAACTTTAATAAGAAAAAACGATGTAGGTTTAGTTTGTCCAAATGACTATATTGTATGTATAATATTTAAATTGATTCCTTAGTGTTGATGTGGCTTGATTATAAAGATATCTTATATATATTTTGGAGTATGTTTTATATTTATTGTGAGGGATATGCATTTATCCTGAAGGAGTGTTTGGCATTCATTATTAATAATATTTTATGTACATCTTGAAGAGTTTTGTGAGAAAAAAATTCTCGTAGTTTCTCTATATATAAAGATCTATAATTTTATTGGTATACTCTTATTTAATCATAATGAAAAAGAAAATTTCTTCGTTTATCCGTGAATATAGACACATTTACCGAACAACATTAAATCTTGTATCTTTTCTTACTTTATTATACTTTATTATAATTGTGTGCATAGTAGGAACTAATTTTTCCAACAACTTGCATCAATTAGGTATTGAGAGAAAGCCATATATGAGAGAGAAGAAGCTCATGAATTGCAACACCAAACTAGATTCGTTCATCCATATATGCGAGAAAAGAATAATTGAGTATGGCAAAAGAAGTTTTGCCAGTGTGTGGTGTTGGGGTTGAGAGAGAGACATCAGATCTGTGCAAAATCGATATTGTCATGCATGTCTTGAACCACAAGACGAACAGCAGCGTCTAAAACCAAGAAGGTGAATCATACGGTGACAATATATCCCAGTTCAATTGGATATGCGCAATTGAAGAGAAATATGTCCTAGATCTGTGAAGTCGAAGTCCCCATATATACATGACACTGGAAGGTTGGAAAGGGAGAAGTTGAGGCGACGGCCAACGTGCGTAAAAACAATATCTGACTTATTTTCAACATGATTTCATGAGATATGTTTTGGATCTAAGTGTGTTGTGACTTTCTGATGATTTTCGATCAAAGTGCAACAGTGCGTAGTGATTCTGATGGTAATGCATAGTGGTGTTTTTCCCATACAATGGTATTTCTATGTAAGTGGTTGTTTATTTTTTATAATGATAATTCTCTCTATTTGTTTTTGTATATAGTATAGGGATTCGAGACGATATTTGCAAAGTACAAGATAAAAAAATTTGATTGCATAATGAGTTTCAGTATGTAAAAAATTAGAATAAAGTCGCCCATAATT